AGCTCCAGGGCCAGTCCCCGGCCGCCGCGGTCTCCGTAGACGCAGCCCCGGCAGGTGGCTCGCTGTGCTGCTTCTGTAGCTCCGTGTGGTTATGGGGGAGCTTTTCCATTTTTAGAACCGAAAGTGTTTAGTCACCGATGCTTTTAAAGAAAATGACAGGCGCGCACATACAGACGCGCACGGTGGAGCTCGCCAGTCCGCGCTTAGCAGAGAGGCCCCGGGGTGTGGCGGGGGCCCCAGAGTGCACGCGCCCTCGTGGCTCCAGTTGCCGCTGGCCTGAGACGGTGAGGGTCAAGCCCTTCCCAGGGGGTTGGTGGCCTGGACCAACTACTTCCAGCAGGGGACACGGTCTCCCTCGCAGGGCCTTTGGGGGTGCGGCTGCCACCTGGGACACGTTCGCCCGGTTGTAATGAGCTCTCCGTCCTTGCCTTCCCAGCGGATACGCCCATCGAGGAGTTCACGCCGACGCCGGCGTTCCCGGCCCTGCAGTACCTGGAGTCCGTGGACGAAGGCGGGGTGGCCTGGCAGGCCGGACTGAGGACGGGGGACTTCTTGATCGAGGTAGGGGCGCGGGTGTTCGTATCTTTCTGCCGGGGAGAGCGCCGACTCTCTGATGCTGGGGGTCCGTGGTCTGGACCGCGTGGCCATTGGGCCCGTGGGCGGTGCTCGCGGAGGCTGGCGTGGACGCATGCTCAGTTGTCACCACCCACCGTGGATTCCGTGTCCTGTAGACGTGTGTGTGTGTCTGGGTTGTCTTTGAGGCCGTGGCTGTGACTCTGGCGGGTGGAAGTGCGTGTGGAACTTGGCCACTGGTCTTGGCGTGGCCGGGAGAAGCGTGCCCGCCCTCATGTCGGCGCCACGTGTGGAGCTTCAGGCCAGTTCGCTGGGACCGTCGGATTGGACACCACGAGGGCAGGTGGGACAGGCAGGGTCGTGGCTCTGGCTGGCGTGAGGCCTGTGGCTGATGTGTAAGTTGCAGGAACTGGCCTGTCGATGGAGGGGGCCTTCAGAGACCGAGGGGCGTGGGCACGGGGGGCGTCTGAGGCCGATGGCACCGAAAGGAAGCCAGCTCCGACGCGTTGGGATCTGCCTTGCCTGGCAGTAGGAGGGGGCGTGCTCTTAAAGACCCAGGTGCCCGTTCCTGCAGCCTCCTCCGGGCGCCCCGGTCGCCCGCATATTCGAGCTCTGGGCCCTTGTGCTGGTTGAGGTGTTACTTTCCATCTTGTTGTGCAAGCGGCTGTGTTACTCTGTGGAGCCGTGAAGAAAACAGACATGTGTTGTCCTTGGGAAAAGTACTCCAGGCGGTTGGGGCAGCGCCCGTGGCCCTCGTCGGAGTTCTTGTGTCTTGGAAAAGCATTTCTCACACTAACCCTGAGCCCTGTCTCATCCGTGTTGGAAACCCACGTGCAGGTGGAGGGGACGGGTGTGGTGTCCAGCCGGCCACGTGGGGGTCCTGCCATCGGGACGGCGGGATACTTGTCCGTTCTGAGGAGGGGGCGGCCCAGGCCGCGGCGACGGTCACTGAAGCCGTTGCTCTGGGTCCCGCCTGCGCTTTCAGGGGGAGAAGTCCCCTTGCTCCAGGGTCTGTCGGCCTCGTATGGTTTGCTGATTTGAATAGCTAGTGAGGGCCGCCGATGTACGCACAGCCCCTGGCGTAGGCTCCTCGGATTGTTTCCTTAATAAACTAGTCCACGGAGAAACGCAGGACGGCCTCAGCGAGCCCGGGCCACCCCTTGCCCAGGGGAGCAGAGCTGCCTGGGGTTGGCGGCCGGGCCGTGGTGCGCCTGGGCTGGGCAGAGAAGGCACGCCACCCGGTCGGGTGGAAGCCCCGTGAAAACGGGGGGCATAGGAGTTCCTGTAGCCCCGGGCGGTGTGGCTCGGTTGGTTGGAGCATCGTCCCCTGCACCGACGGGTCGCAGGTTCCATCCCAGGTCGGGCGGGTATGTGAGGCCACCGACAGGTGTTCCTGCTCCCTCTCCCTTCCTCCCTCTCTGACGTCCATGGAAACAGACCCGCGGGCGAGGATGAAAAAGAAGAGTTTAACCCTTCGCCAAACTCCTCCTCCGACAGCTTTTCACTCTGCTCTGCTCATCGACCTGCCACTGGAAGAGGTTTTATGCTGTGGGACCCTCTGAAGTCCAGGGTTCAGGAGTGCCCGGCCCTCGGGTGCATGGGGGCTCTGCTGGCGTTATGATGTCACAGGGCGTGAGGGTGGGCCCGCCACAGCCAGGGCCCTGCCCCGCTGGAGCCCAGCTCCCGGCCCTTCGTGTCCAAGGCCACCTGGTCGGCTCAGAATTTCCTTCAGGGGCTGGAATTGAAAAGCTGAGACTCTCCGTGGGGCTGTTTTCCCAGCTGCCAGCTTCCCCCGCTGGAATATTAGAATCACTCCCGGCCTCAGGGCTGCCTTTCCCAGCAGACGGCATCTTGTGGTTTTAGTGAAAAGCTTCGACCTTGTAGGCGTTGTTTTCAATGGACTCACGTGTCTCAGCTGAGTCTTCGCTTTCGCAAGAAGCCACCCCTGGAGTTGAGGGGCTTCTGAGCTTTTGTCGGAGTGGGGGGTCCCAGGTGCGGGGTTCCAGGTGTGGGGGTTCCAGGTGTGGGGTCCCAGGTGTGGGGTCCAGGTGTGGGGTCCAGGTGCGGGGTCCCAGGTGCGGGGTCCCAGGTGCGGGGTCCCAGGTGCGGGGTTCCAGGTGTGGGGTCCCAGGTGCGGGGTTCCAGGTGTGGGGTCCCAGGTGCGGGGTTCCAGGTGTGGGGTCCCAGGTGCGGGGTTCCAGGTGTGGGGTCCCAGGTGCGGGGTTCCAGGTGTGGGGTCCCAGGTGCGGGGTCCAGGTGCGGGGTCCCAGGTGCGGGGTCCCAGGTGTGGGGTTCCAGGTGTGGGGGTTCCAGGTGTGGGGTCCCAGGTGTGGGGTCCAGGTGCGGGGTAGGTGTGGGGTCCCGGTGTGGGGGTCCCAGGTGTGGGGTCCCAGGTGTGGGGTCCCAGGTGCGGGGTCCCAGGTGCGGGTTCCCAGGTGCAGGCCATTGTCCTCGTCCCACCACGTCGCCCCGCGAGCCCCCTATCTGTCTGCTCTTGGAAAGGAACTCAAAGTGTGTCTGATGTGTCCTTTCTCCTTAAAACGCTGCTGGGTTGGACGTGGGGACGAGGGGCCCCTTGGCGGTGCCTGTTGCCTCTTCTCAGCCCTCAGCACCCGCAGGAGGCCTCTTCCTTCTCGGCCTGGGGAGGAGGCCGGGCCGGGCCTGTGTGG